GGCCTGGAGCCACAGACACTGGGAGTGAAGGAAGAGCTATGAAGAGCTTCCCACTGCTGCAGGGGGTGAAGGTGTTGCCTGTGGGTTCAGCATCAGGGGGCAAAGACAGACAATGCCTGCTCTGGCATAAAGTCTTGAGGGGAAAGGTAGTCCCTGAATACCGTTTGAACACATCAACTGCAGTGAATTTTTGTGTCCAGTGCTACTGGTATTTCTTGCCTGATTAGAGGTTCCCTAAAATTGAATTCCTCATTCAGATATTCCCTCTGCTGCCCTCCAAACCAGGCGAATGTGACCCTTTGTATTCACTCTTGCATTCACCTGCAAAACTCTGAATTAGCAAAGACAGGTGTCACAGGTGCTCAACATCTCCCATGGCCAAGATTTTTATTTGTTATACCTGTCAGTCAATGACTGCTCTATCTCACTGTGGACAGGCGTATTCCATCCTGCTGATGTCAAAAGCATATCCATCCATTCAGCAATGCTCTATGCCAAGCAATTGCCACTCCGTGGGGAAAGCACAATTTGTCTACATAATTGCACTTGTTTCTGGACAATTGTTGGGTCAGAGGATAACATTTTTTACTTATAGTCGTTCCACATTCATCTGAATTTTCCTGTGCCTTTTCCTACAACAAAGATTTCGATGCTATCTGGCTTCATACTACAGAAAGGGTACTAGAAACCTGCGAAAAAATACCTGAAAGTAAATCCATTACACTCAGTTGAACAGAATTTTACATTAAGGAGCTAGAGTAATGCCTCAGATTCAAGGTGCGTTTCTAGGAAAAAAGAAAGTCCACATTAGCTTATTTTTTCCTCATATTATGTAACTACCAACCAGAATTCAAATATACTTGCCTGGATGTTATCTTGTCTTTAAAAACTCAAAAAAAAATATATGTTCCCTTTATATCTTAATGTCCATATAATCCGATTCTGAAATTCCCTAAATGAGAAATAATATTTGTTTTCTTTATGATAAGAATTCTTTTTATTTCCATAAGATAATGCATTTAGTATTTTGCCTTTTTGTTATGCTTATTAAATAAACAAATCAACATCTAAGTTTAACACAGTTGTTGCCTTAGGCAAGCCACTATTTTACTTCCTTAACACCTCAAGGGTTTCCAAATAGCCATGTGAAGTAGAGCTGCTTGCTTCATTTTTCATTGTCTTGCTGGTAGTCTGTACAGAAAGTCATGCATCATTTTTTGATACAAGAATGGGTTTTGCTCAAACTATTTTTCTTTTTCTTTTAACCAGGTGCATTTTTTTTCAAATTAAATATGTATTTTTATTTTAAATTATCTTTTTATTTAAAATAGGATAATTTAAAATTAAACACGGAATTTTAACAATGTACTGCCAAACTTCTTAAGTTCAATAACTTGATTTGCATTAAGTATCATGCAGCATTCACGTATTATGTATCTGTTGATAGAGATTTGCTGACCATCAAACTACTGAGCTGGAAGAGTTTAAGTGACTGGAGAAAACAGCCTCTGACAGAAGTGTTTAGTCCAAGTTTGATATCTTTAGCTTCCTCTGCAGGTTCAGAGAAGGTATTTTCTTCACTTTATTCAGGTTAACTTTATGCAATATCTAGTTCATTCAAAGTTATCTCTTGAGAGCTGATAAAGGCAGAAAATCTTACTTTCTACTGTTGGTAAAAACTCCATGGCATAGACTGAAATCTGCTAAATCTAAAATTTTGCAGGGTACAGTAAAGAAAGAAACACATAGTTCTGTTTACACAGTAGAACGAATAGCTAATTTGACTAATAAATCACTTTAATATAAGTAAGAAATAAATATGAAGTAAATGTGAAATGTCATTCATTGGTTTCTAAGATAAAAAGTAAATAGCAAGACTCTGAATAAATATATCAGGAAATTTTATGTAATTCTCTAAATGTGACTTAATATATCTCCACCTTTACCAACAGAAGTACCTAATGTAAACAAAGTAGCAGCCAAAATAATCTGCTGTATGACTTTCTCACAGCAGTGGAACAGGATTGATTATAGTGATCAAAGACTTTTCACCCATCACCGTTTTGAGCATGGGAATTATGCTGCCAATCAACAATATAGTAAGTAGGGAGAATATGATGTAAAAGGATATTACCCACTCTTTTTTGGGTAATAATGTACTTCCCAATCTAGATTATCAAACAAGTGAGATCAGCCACCATATTATTTAATGCTACACTGTAAAATCAAAATACTTGAATGATACCGAGAGGAACAAACCCTTTTCCAGAAAGCTAATTACAAAGTAAATGCACAAAAGAAAGACAGTGATGATTTCTTCTGACCCTTTGTGTTTTTTTTATTTTAAACACACTTTCCTAAAGCAGGGCACAGCCTACTAGCATCAGACTCACCAACATCAGACTCACAACCAAAGCAACAACCCTCATTCTATGTTACCAGTTTTCTTGCTCAAGTTGCTTATCTGCTGTGATTCCTGAAATATTTCCCTCAAAGATTAGGACCCCCTAGAATACAGTTCCTCTTGCTCTCAATGAAGCAAGTATTCTTCAGCCTTAACTCAGTATGTTGTTATACATACATGGACTGAGGTTACCAAGCAACCCAAGTTGTTTGATAGAGCAAGTGGTCCAGACTGTTAGTATTCTTTGCAAATTTCATTGACAATGATATTCTGTCAGCTTCCATGTTGTCTGAAAAATACTGAAAACATCTAATTGTGAATGTCATTAAAACCTTCTGCAAAAACTCTCCCTCAATTACGACTTGTCTTGCCTGGTGTTTTCTGTGATGTGCTCATTTAACATGTCTCCATTGATATTGTGTAGGGTTAATGTTATAATATTGAATAGATGGAAGTAAACTCTAATAAATACTTTGCTGGTAATACTGTAGAGTTAAGGTAGCTGAAAGGTACTGTGGTCAGAGGTGAGGGATTTGTGTTCCAATATTACTTAGTAGAAGAGGGGATTGACCCTCTGACTATTACAATGCTATAATACAAAATAGAAGGAGATTTGATCATCACTACTTCTACATGTGCTGTGAATCTGCCTATCCTTCTCTTTTCTGTTTTGTAGCATCTTTCTCAAACCACAACGTTGCTAATGAAAATTAATTAATCTGTCTAAATAGAAAGGGATCCTTTTCTTTGAAATGTGCCCCCCCTCCCACTCCATCCATCTCAAAATGAAACCCTCCCTTTTCTCCACTTAGATTGACTTATTTATTATTTATTTCCTGGGTTGATGAACTCATAAATCAGTTTCATGCAGAGTCCTGACATGCTTAACGCCACAGAGATTCAGTAATTCAATTATTAGGCTTGAATTCATTGTGTCAAACAGTCTCAACTTCCTTACGGTCTGCTTTTCATGGTAAACAGGACAGAGCTTCAAAACTACGTCTTAGAGACAAATCCAAGAAGAATTGAAGCTCTCGGCTCTAGCCTGTCTGTCCTCCTAGTAAAATCCAAGTGAATGGTCAATTAGGTAGATATAGAACGTTGTATTGTTATGTGTATCTCTGACATGTTATGGTCCTGACAGGAAAGTGAACCACACGGAAGGGCAGACAGGTAGATCACTTAGTAACAAGTGATATATTCAGTACATCTGCTTTCTGAGGAGAGAGAAATCGAAGTCATGACCCTGTGATCCTTTCAGAACCCAAATAAGACTCAAAACTTTGACTATGTGCTTATAGCAAAAAAACCCTGAAAAGCAACCAAGCAATAGGAAAGAAGGAAGCTGGTTTTGCACTGGTAAAAATAACAGAAACAAAGAAAAATTTTACAATTCCTTCCGTAGAATGTGAAATTTCAGGTGTTCAATATTTTTATTCCTGTGAGCAGTTATTAAATAGAGCGTATTTTTACATCACTTTTTTCTTCTTTTATAACAAATAATACATCAGAAGTCTTTTGTTTTGGAGACTACTGGTAGCTAGACCTGCTTAATTATGATATACAGGGTTATGGAATATTAGATACTGTATGAATTACATTCAATGTATTATCTTCTTCTTTATCTCAGAAATATGCAGTGGCAAAAAAAGACAATGTCCTAAAATTTCAATACCTATCATCCAGAGGGTAATCAAATATGATTGTCAAAGCTGAATCAACCTGTAACCAGGCAATGCATTTCATAAAATCTGTTAGCTTCATAGAAGTGGAATATATTCCAACAAGAAGCAAATAACATAATATTTAATGTAGCTGTATGAAACTGCAAAAAAAGATGCAGTTTAGTAGTGATATGAGAATCTTCATTGCTATTTTGGAGGAGCAGTCTCTGGATATATAAGATCCCTCACTTAAGAAGTTAGGATGAGTGGACTCCATTGTTTAGAAATAGTTTTGTGTTTTAAAATGTAGTTTCTTAACAAAGTTAAACTTTATGAACAGGAAAACTTAAATTTTAGTAAGTTCTGAAGCTCTCCTTCAACAGGTCCTGAATGGAAAGGAGCTTTCTTTTCTGTTCTTCTTAGTAAGGATCCTCTTTCCCCCGCTTCCAATGCAAGGTTTTTTTCCCTCTCCACTTTTCCCTATCCTACCAGTCCTTCTAATACTCTTTCCTCTAACTGTAGAGGTTATCCTCAGACACTGTTATTTGCAGCAGTTTCCAAATTCTTCCAGCTTCCTTTCCCTAAGTCCAGTAAGAACTTCCAAATTGTTAAATAAGTTTATTTTTTCCTGCAGAAAAGAGGTTTTTAGTAGGCAAATCCCCAAAACATCCAGAAATGTGACTATAGTCCCACTGACATTACAAGTTGGAATAATTAGATGAGTCAGTGCTTTATCTGAATTATATCTGTAATATTGATAGGTTTCATTCTAGCTGGGAAAGTTTAAGGGCAGTTCCATACTGTACAATTTGCAGTCATATTTACTTGGCCCAGAAAATGAATATGGTAGTCTGTATAATAAATTCAAGGATAAAATACAAGTCAGAAATACCAGGGACAAAACAAAACTGAGAATGAAAAACTTACTTGTCAGAAGACCAGTGATATTTTAAAAAATGCCGTCGTTGGTCAGTTTTTGAAGTCACTCTGAGGTCTCAAGATATCTAAGAGTGTTGAGTATGTTCTGAAAAGAAGAAGAATCAAGGATTTAGTAATTTCATCATGTATCAAATGCTAAAATAAAACCTGTCCAAAAGAGATTATTTTTCCATTTTATGAGGTTATTAATTCATAGAATATGTTTTGATTTCACCACTGAATCTGTAGTGAGTTTATGAGCTTCCAGAAGTTGAACTGCTCAGATCAAACTTTCTGCAGCGCACAGGGAATCAGAACAATGAGAAGAATAATTATTTAATTTATCCTCTTGCATACCTACATTCCCAAGCTCTTCTAGCTGAGAGAGAAAATTGAAAATGAAAGAAGTCTTTTTGCTCCGTTCTGTTTTAATAAACCAATATATGGGAGTAAATGACTTTCCAAAGCAAGTAGATAAAATCATGTCCCTAAATGTCTTTCAAACAATTGACTAGTGTTCCTTGTCTATCTTTTGGACTAGTTCATCTATTTGGCCTCCTGATTTGTAATCTAGTGGATGCAGATGTCCCTTTGTACTCACAATGCTATTCTGCATTAAAGTCTAGCTTTGTAATTTCCAGTTGTCCTTAAAAGACAGGGCAGTTTGAGTCAAGGAATCATCTGAGCTCTCCGAAGCAAAATGAAAGACTGGGAGCTGACCAGTGCTTCGATCTGTGCAGACTGTGGAGGGAGGAGGTGGAGGAGCTGGAAATTAAAGAGTGGAGTTGAGCCTGGGAAAAAGAAGGGTTAGAGGAAAAGTGGTTTTAGTGTTGTCTTTGTTTCTCACTTTCCTAATTTATTTTTAATTGGCAAAAATTAAATTAATTTCCCCCAAATTGAGTCTGGATTTTCTTACTCAAGATGTTAATCAGTGAGTTATTTCCTTGTCTTTATTTCAATCCATAAGATTTTCTATCATATTTTCTCCTCATGTTCTGCTGAGAAGAGGAAGTGAGATGGGTGAAGTGCTGGGTGTGCTGGAAGTGATGGGTGGGTGCCTGGCTGCTGGCCAAGGTCAGCCCACCACAGCTATAAAATAATGTTTCCATCGCCGATCTTTCCAAGATACCCAGGACTGAGACTGGAATGGAAAACAAATCCATACAAATAAAACTCTGTCTATAACACATAGGAATAAACAGAATTAGTAAGGAACAGAACTGTTTCTCAGAGAAAACTACAGTAGCAGGAAAAAATCATAGCTCTCTATGCTTCTGTAATGCAGTCACAAATTTGAAAACAAGAGCTTACATTAGCAAGGATCAAGTCAAATGACTCATACTCGATGAAAGGAGAGTGCTGAAAACCTAATTTGAAAAAGAGTTCTGCTTGTGATATGATACTGAGGTCTCTTTGGCCTGTTAAGGAATTTTTGACAGTGATCAATGAAATATAACATAGTAAGTGTTTAAAGATGAACCTGATCAACTTGCAGTAATATATTTATTCTGCCAACACTTATTTTAGAAATGATTACTTAAAGTTCTTTCACAGTTGTTTTAACAGTCTTGAAGTGATTTATTTAATTCCAGATTACATTAAGCTCCAGAACTCCATTTTAGCAATTGTGATACTGATCTTACATTTAATCTATGAAAAAGATTGAAGTGCTATGCATCTCTACCTGATATTGCAGGCTATGGGATGAAATCTCCATCACCTTAGTACTGCAAAGGGTTATGCATTTGTTTGGATTCCATTGGTTTTGATCAGGATATGCCTTATAGTGGCAAAATTAGCAACACTCCCTCTAAATCTCATTGAATGAATTCTTTCCTGAATGAGTTTCTTGTTAGAATTCATATTCTGTTAAAATAATCAACAACCGACTAAAAAGACGAGATCCATGGCAAACATTCACACTGCCTCACATACTTGTGAGAAACTTCTGGTATAATAAAACCTAGAAAAATACAAATTGCTAGTAGAACTGAGCAACTATTAAATTCTCTCAACAATCTCCTGTTTACAGCCTAACAACTCTTGTAATTTAGCTGTATTTTCAAGGCTAAATAACTAAGGTCCCATATTTGTACAGTGGGAAATTTGTAAACACACAGTGAAATTAACTGTTAGTTGGGAAAGAGAACTTGGAAATAGCCTTATGAAAATGTCACCTAAATCCTCATCAACTGTCAAAAATTAAAATGGTATATTAGGAAATATTAGGAATAGAATAGAAAACAGCAGAAGGAACATGATAACGCTGCCATAAAAATCCATTGCCCACCTAACATTTTAAATATTGAATATGGTTCCAGTCATCTCAAAAATGACAGGATAGCAATAGAAGGATAAAGAAAAGGGTGACAGGATGATCAAAGGTATGTAATGGCTTCTGTACTAGGAAAGGAAAAAGAAAGGCTTTAGGATTTTCATATGGAAGAGGGACAAATGAGGGAAAGAACTGTGACAGAGCCTCAGGAAAATCATGAACAGAGCTAAGGAAGGGAATAAAGAATGTTATTCACTGTATTTCATACCACAGGAAGCAGTCGCAATAAAATGAGCAGTTAGCAAATTTAAAATATGAAACCCAAGAAAGGATGCTTTCCACAAAGATCATAATTAAAGGGTGGAACTCATGGCCACAGGATGTGATGATACCACATACATGTATAGGCTTCAAAAAACAATTCACTGTGGTGGTAAAAGAAACATTGACCAGTACTAATCTGTATTTTACACAAAGGTACACAGTATAAACCTTCAGGTTAAGAAGCATTATGGACTGCTCTAGGATGATACCATGAGAGGTTGTCCTTTGGTCTGATTTAAATACAGCTGTTGCAGTGTCCTTATTATTGAGTTCTCAAGACCTTAAACCATCTTGTCCAGGAGCTGCTTTATGCTGATGACGCCGCCCTTGTCGCCCACACAGAAGCAGCTCTGCAGCGTTTAACATCCTGCTTTGCAGAGACTGCTGAGCTCTTTGGGCTGGAAGTCAGCTTAAAGAAAACAGAGGTTCTTCATCAACCTGCACCTCAGGAAGTCCCCCATCATCCCCACATCACCATTGGCAAATCAGAGCTCAAATCAGTCCAACAGTTTAATTACCTAGGCAGCCTCATCTCCTCGGATGGTAAGATTGACGGAGAGATAGACAACAGGTTAGCAAAGGCATATAGTGCTTTTGGAAAACTCCACAAAAGAGTATGGTGTAATACACACTTGAAGAAAAGTACCAAGATCAGTGTTTACAGAGCCATAGTGCTGTCTACTCTCTTGTATGGTTCTGAATCATGGGTCATCTACCGCCACTACCTGTGTCTCCTTGAACGCTTCCATCAGCGCTGCCTCCGAACAATCTTAAACATCCACTGGTAAGATTATGTGACCAACACATCTGTTCTAGAGCAAGCAGCTATCACAAGTATAGAAGCCATGTTGATGAGAACACAGCTGCGATGGGCAGGGCACGTCTCCAGGATGAAGGACCACCGCCTCCCTAAGATCTTGCTTTATGGTGAACTTGCCACCGGCTGCCACAGGAGAGGAGCCCCGAAGAAAAGATACAAGGACTCCCTGAAACAACATCTCAGCCTCGGTCATACTGATCTCCATAACTGGTCTACTCTGGCCTCCAATCGGGAGGCCTGGAGACACACCATCTATAACGCAGCTGTCTCCTTTGAGAACACATGCAGGATCACCCTCGAGGAGAAAAGGCAACGCAGAAAGAACCGTGTCTTGCAGAATACACCATCTAAGGAGTCTTTCTGCTGTGCCTTTTGTAATCGGATATGTCTGTCTCGTATTGGCCTCATAAGTCACCAACGTGCCTGTAACAAATGTGGTTAGAGCCTTCCCTAATCTTCGTTCGCGAAGCCTAGCCATGATGATTATTGAGTTCTTAGTAATTTCTTTCTACATGCAGATGTTAGAGAGTGTTAGTGCAAATATGTGATTTAAGATTTGTATAAACATCCAGCCCTCTACAGAGGGGCTAACATACCATTTTAAGTTCAAATTGTTCAGCCTACTCAGGCATGCAGGTTTAGGCTAGGGTTTTCTGAGGATCCTCAGGTCTGGCATCCAACTGCTACTGAAGACTAAAGGGATTGATACACAAAACTGTCATTTTATGGAAATAAGTAATGATACTGACTTTTTTCCCCTCAGAAAAGAAGTATACAGTCTTTCTTTTGTAATTAATGATCTTCATCGTAACTGTTTCATCTGTCTCATGATGGGAGGAATAGAGACAGATTTTTCCAGACAAATACATAGGCACAGGACATATGAAATTGTCACTTTTCACTTATTGTGGTGATAAAATACCATTATGTTACTGAATAAGCAAGGTTGCTTAACTCTGTATCCATCGTTTGTTCATCTGATGCAGATTCATTAAAGACTTTGCCCTGCTAACTATCATGCTACAAGTAAAGGGCTTGCCAGTTCCACTATGGGAGGGCCGATGCTTCCTGTCAGATAAAAGGCCGTGTTCAGGAATTGCTTTTAGAACACTGTGAAGGAAATGCTCTGATTGACCTTGGCTGACTAGATCTCTGCTTGTGCAGGTGGCAACTCAGTTGTGAGGCATGTGTGCCCAGAGTCTTGGTTGCCCAGATCACTTACCTTGGTTGCTATCACTATTCTCTCCTGCTACCTACCCATGTTATTTTTCATTGAAAACCAGTATGTGAGAGGAGGGATGGGGCATAGTTTCTGTATCCCAAGTTGCTGGAAAGTGAACCAGGATTTGGGCCTGAGGAGGATTTTCTTCCAGTACTTTCATAATGCTTACTCAATGTCTGTTCAGGGTGAAAAATGTTTGTCCTAAAATGTTAAATATCCTGAAAGCTGAATGTGTCACGCTAGCCTAAACTGACTTGGTATTTTGGCCACTGTTATATGTGGCATACTGGCTTAGGTAGACGAATTGTTTGACCTAATATAGACATTTTTAGTTACTCATTTATGCAAGATACCAAAACACTAAAAGATTATAGCAGGTCTGTATGGAGTATTATTATAACTATCATTTTAATTTTTTTTATTTCTAAAACGGTGGATGGTCTTGTAAGATCTCCAGAAATAAAC